AAAAAAAGAATTTTGTGAAGGATTTGATCGAAAATTATGTAAATCACCGAACAAGGTTATATTATTAATGACGGAAGCTTTAACAGAATATAATTACGATTTAGCTAAGAGCTGCATTAGCAACAAGGGCGACTCCTCTCTCATAGAATGCTGTAGCAGGAGATACTGCAAAGGCAAGCGATGTAACAAGCTGGCGACGATCACCATAGAGATATAAGGGTAGTCGAACACCTTCCGGCGATTCCTGGAAAAGATTAAATATACAAAGATTGCGGCGATAAAACCACAAGAATAAAATGATGCAGATTGTCTAGTAAAAAGAAAAACAGGAAAAAATTCGAAGCAGTAATTCAAGAAATCCATGGAAAAAATAATTAAACCAAAAGTTACCTGTTTCCATGAGAATTCCACACAATCGCAAGATGTCTTCACTTCATCTGACAGACGCAGCGCGTTTCCTCCGCTGCTTTCAGCTCCTCGTAGTTCCATTCCTGCAAGAGCACACCTTCAAATAGCAGAAACAAAACAAATGAAGTCAAACTCGTGCAGAGTGGAGACAACCGTCTTTCCACCCGAATCCTTTAAAAAGCATATATAATTATAGCAGGAAATTTACCAGTTAATCTCACAACGTCCAATCGATCAGTTCTTCCGATTGTCACATGTAAATGTAGTTGTTCAAGCGACCAAGTGTTCGCTTGAGCCACTTGCTGTCGTGTGGCTGTTACATATGCTTCTGGTGAGAATGTTCCACCAAGCCATACCTCCTCGCGCTGCAAGATACGCTTGATTCTGATTAATCTCTTCCAAGTAACTACCGCTCCAGGCTTACCTTAAGATTATCGCTAGCTCCAATCCTTGCCAGCTGTTTAACTCTTTCACTGAAATCGAGTACCCAATCCATAACCGTTACGTCTTTTGGAACGGTATAGCGTAGCCAGTCGACAGGCACCTTAAAGAATGAAGGTTTTCGATTTGAAACCTCAAGAAGTAAATTACACTCACCACTCCCTTCTGCAATGCAGAGGCCAGAGCTCTAGTCTCATTGCTTTGTTTGCGTTCTGCGCGGCAAACGGACAAGATCTCTTCCAGATCGTGACGAATATCGCGTAGAAGTTGTGCTCCAAGGTTGATTTCACGTTCAAAGAATCGGAACAAAGGATCTTTGATATTGTCTACGGTACGTCTCATTCGATTAATATCCTTAAAAAATAGATTTGGGAAAAGGTGAATAGACAACTGAAAACTGCAAAAAGAAAACGCCTTGAGAAGATTTTAGAATATACCTTTGGCAACAACTTCAACCATTGCTGAGCAAGTTCTCCAATTTGAGCCATCCACTGAGGTTTCGCTTCCTTCTCACCGTCTCCAGTGAAAGCTAATTCGTCATCTGACACCTTCAGGAGATTCCTCAGCATACCCTCACCTGAATAATTAGCAATTCAGCATAAAGTACAGAACTGAGAAAGTGCAATCGAATTCAGTGTCTTATTGGGAATTTGTAATATAGAACAAGTTCAGAGAACGATTAGAATCCCACAGAGCATAGCTGGCGTTTTTTTAACAGCGTACTTGATGGTTTTCTACTTAAACTCAGACAATTTCCGAAAACATTTTTTGACAAATTATTGGTCATGAGTATGCTAAGTTGGGAGCGAAAATAAAAAAGTACCAAAGGATTTTTTGAGATCATTTGAACCTTCTAAATCATGTTATTGTTTTAGAGATTATCTGAATCTTCTATTTTAAGACGTTTATAGAGGAGCTTTTTAGATATTGAAATAATTGACATTTTATGAAAGAAGAAAAAGTGTTAAATCGGTCTTCAAAAGACTATCCCACAAACTCCCTCCAGCAAAGCGTATGGAATAGCTGCATGACATTCAAGATATTTTATGTTGAAGCATACCTCTTAATGTTAGCAGCACCTTTTCAGCATTATTTGGAAGGCCAAGCCAGGCTGGCAGCTGAATTAAAACATAATCATTAGCGTGTTACTTTGGAGAAAATAAATGCCAACCTGTTGGCTCTTAATTCCTTCCACCCATGCTAGAAGCTGATCTCTTTGGGTCGCATCAGGTGTGCATAGTGGCTTATCCCCGTCGAATTTACTAACAAGTACATGTTCTGGATCAAAGCTCTTAGCCGTGAACAGTCTCTCCAACATGCAATCCAGGAGCACCTAAATGAGGAAGGAGCAAATGGA